TTTTTTAAAAAACTGAATGTTATTTACATTTGCTTTGAAACTGCCTTTTCAATTCACTACCTTGCTTGTGTTGATTTCCTTGCTCAAGTTTGCATGCAGCTAAGCATGATACTTTTATGCTAATTTTGCTTTACAAATGTTAGGTAGATAGAATAGAAAAAAGGAGTCCAGAATGGCGATAGCTAAAAGACAAAGAAGGAAAACCTAGACAGCATATTAAAAAGCAGAGACATTACTTTGCAATCAAAGGATGGTCTAGTCAAGGCTATGGTTTTTCCAGTAATCATGTATAGATGTGAGAGTTGGACTATAAGGAAAGTTGAGCACAGAAGAATTCATGCTTTTGAATTGTGGTGTTAGAGAAGACTCTTGAGAGTCCCTTGGACTAAAAAGAGAGCCAACCAATCCATCTGAAAGGAGATCAGTCCTGTGTGTTCCTTGGAAGGACTGATGTTGAAGCTGAAACTCCAATACTTTGGCCACCTGATGCGGAGAGCTGACTCATTTGAAAAGACCCCCATGCTGGGAAAGATCGAGGGCAGGAAGAGAAAGGGACGACAGAGGATGAGATGGTTGGATGGCATCACCGACTCAATGGACATGTGTTTGGGTAAACTCCGGGAGATGGTGATGGTCAGGGAGGCCTGGTGAGCTGCAATTCATGGGATCTCAAAGAGTTGGACACGACTGAGCGAATGAACTGAACTGAACTGAAGCATGATATCCACATTTTCTGCCAGAAGAGTGGACTGCACTATTGTTCAAACTTCATCTTTCATCATTTATTTATAAGTGATATACTTATTCATTTAATTAAACCCTCCCACATGGGTCACATGGTTTGTAATCATCTAGATGTACTGTCCAAAACGGTAGCCACTTGTCATGTGTCATCACATTTAAAGGTGATGCCTTCCATATTGGACAGTGCAGATGTTACAGAGCATTTCCATCATCTCATAAAGTTCTATTGGACAACATTACTTTAGAGGAAGTCTCCTAGACTGAAGAGCTAGAAATTTGACCTGGTCTTCTCAAAGTATAAGAAATCAGAGGGGTTTTGTTGTTGTGTTCCATACTCAGTATAGGAATTCAATATATACCAATTAGAATGTGTTGATAAGTGTGCAGATGGAAAATGAAATGAACAAATTAGGATTTATTTATCAATACACATTACTTGACAGAGAAAAGAAAACATCCAAGCTATAATGTACTTACCTTTTCTGCTCCTGAAAACTCTGACTCTTGTAACCAATCCTTGGTGCTACTGAAGCTGAATTCATCCTAAATTTATCGCCCGCCTGCTGTGAGCAAGTTTATGAGCTCCACATTTTTTTCAGGGGGGAGCATTCAAGAAAGCATTCTCCATTCTAATGAGGAAGATAGTCATGGACTTAAATAAACATTGTATAAGCAAGGTCTTATCCAGGCTTTGTGGGACCCTAAAACATATGCAATTTAGTAAGCACTCAAAAAACAAGAACTCTCCCAAATTGTAAATATGAAAAAACATATATATGGTTTTATATACATACATATGTATATGTTTATATGCATAAACCATATTTACATATATAAAACTCCCAGAGTTTTGGAAGGAGTCTGTGAAAGTAAGTTTTCCTTAATTTATTGTAAATCCATTTCTGAATATTAAACAAAATATAAAAAAGGGCCATGTGCAAAAAGCAGGGGAAAATAACAATGACAGAAAGGACTGGAGATGGCATTTTTATAGAAAAAGCACTGAAAGTTCATACTTCATACTATTAAAATGATAGTGTTTACTCCTGATATGAGGACTCTGTGAGGGCCCAAAGGGGTTGGTGCCATATTTTAACTTTTTATATTTCCCACAGCTTTTACAGGGACAGTTCGTTCTTGCATAGCCTGTGTTTAAAAAGGGTCTGACAATTTTGTGGACACACACTCACCCATACACTTCAAAGTTGATGCTTGAATTAGGCACTGAAGCCTGGATTCTTATCAAAACGTGGGAGACGGTCTTAGCTCAGACTGCTGTAAAGAAACACCAAAGACTGAATGGCTTAAGCAGCAGACACTGATTTCTCAGTCTCGACGACCGGAAGCTCAGGGTCAGGATGCCAGCGTGGTAAGGCTCTAGTTACGGTCCTCTCCTGGGCTTGCAGCTGGCTGCTTCCTGGCTGGGTTCTCACGTGCGGTGGAGGGTGGGTGGAGGTTAGGGGTGGGAGAGGATTCTGGTTTATTCTTATAAGGGCACTAACTCCATCATGAAGCCCCCACCCTCATGACTTCATCTAAACATAGTTACCCCCCAAAGGCTCTATTTCCTAATACTATCATATTGGGGGGGGGGGCAGGGCAGGGCAGGGCATTGTTGAAGCTTATTTATGTGCTTCCACATGTACATTTGAAGGGAGCACCGCATTCAGTCCCTAACAGAGACAGTCAATCCTGAAGGAAGGGATAGAACTTGCAGGGCAAAGCAGTATGTTCCAGCCTGGAAGGTCTTATGGAGAGTTCCTGCTGAAAAGTCTAGCAAAGGATAAATCAGTATTTCACTATAACCATAGAAACTGCCATCCTAGGTCTCTTAACGCAGACTTAAATGGAACTGCTTCAGTTGTTTTTCTTCTATAACACATGTTCCACTGGCAAGATCGAGATTTCAACTATTAAAAGTTATTCTACAAACATGTACGAAACACATACTTTATGTAAGATACTTTTCTATAATGAGAATACAAAGCCATAAGATATACTCCTGTTCTCCAAGGAGTCACTCTTATTTGGAGAACAGAGACTAAACAGAAACCAAGAGATAGTCTAAAATCAACACTATTCCTGCAAAGTGAGCCCCATCAATCAGTGAAATAAGTAATCTGGGACCTAAACATATTAATGGAAAAATTATAATACAAGACATTGATCATATTCTTCTTGAATATCAGTCCTGACAATCATAATTTTACATAACTTATTTATCATATATCCAGTAGTTTTGGAAGAGATTTTTCCTAGATCTTAAAACCAGAATTCTTTTGACAAATGTCCATATTTACTAAAGAACATGGTGTTCCACTGAAGATCTCACTAACTCTAGTTGCTCGCATCACCTTTATTCAGAGAGAGAATTGCAAAATGCTTTTTCTTCCTGGCAGGTTTCCACAAAATGTATACTTAACACAAATGCCAAATGTTTTGCTTTAGCCTCAGTGCCTTTCCCTTCTTCCATTAGAAGTCCAGTTTACCAAATAAATCAGGACTTTGTCACTTTATTGAAAATTTCTGTGGGAAAAGAGAAGCACCTTATTCTGTGGATCACAGTATTTCACTAGGAAAAATTTATTTAAAAAATCTTCCAAGACACTTGTCTTGAGTACATTGAGTACATTGCGTACTTGTCTTGAGTACATTGCGTCTCTTTTCTTCTGACCCACTACGCCTCAAAGCATAGCCCAGCCTCACTCTCTCCTCTTTCCTTCCTCCTTTTCCATCCAAAGTATTTTTCCCTTCATTCTGAAATATAGGACACATAACACAGGATGTTCATAAACTTAAAAAGGGCTTATCTAAAATCTTCTCAAATGTGGGCTGCTAGGATGTAACTTATCCCCATGTAATTACACAAAGACGAAAGCTTAATTTAATTAAATCCTCTAACTATATAGGACTACATAACCCTATAACTCTAACATAATTAACAGAAAGAAATAATAATAAATATTTAATGAATATTTACTATGTGTCAGCTACTGTTCTAATAGTTTTATATAAGTAATGTCTTTTAGTCCTCAAAATAATCTTATGAGTTACATACCATATCAATATTTGATATTCACATTTAATACATCTATATTTTATTATATCTATATCTAATAAATCAGAAAACGGAAGCACAGAGGCTAAGCAATTTGCCGAGGTTACTCAACTGAAGTGAAGAGCTGGGACTTTAACCAGAAGCGTAGGTTCCAAAGCACTGTTAATCATTTTATCACAGAACCTCAGCCAGGAACTGAACCCGCAGCTCCATTCTAATTCAGTAGGGGATGCTAGCAGAAAATACATAGAGTCACAGAGCAAATGTTCAAGTTCAACATACAGCTTCTCTGTATAAGAAAAAGGGGCTTCAAACTGTGCCTCTGGATCCTTGCACAGAGAAATTAGATGCTGAACTAGATAGTGGTCTAATTAGATAAAAACCAGGGAAAAACCCATAAAATTTTCTGAAACCTACAATATCTGTCATTAAAACAGATGTTCTTTTTTCATTGTCTTTATGCCATTTAATTAATATATGATAGTTTTCAATTAAGGCAAGGACAGTGCTTTTAAGTTCTTTCCCATCTTCCAAAATTTCAAACATAATTCTTCACAAATGAAAAAAAAAATCCATAATTTTATCTTATACAGATGAACACAAAAGTAGAGTGTGAGAAAATAGAGCAAATGTAAGTGTTGTGGGCATTTGTTCAATTATTTTATTTAAATAATCCCTCTCAAAAACCTTTCTGGTCGAGTTCCAGTCTGGAGGGATATGATTTTTCAAGGTGCTTACATCTCCTATTTTTCTTTACCACATGGTGACTTCTGCATAATTCACTACTCATAAGTTTTCTATTAAGATATGGCATAGGAAAATAAAATGGGGGGAAAATCAAATAATATTACTGCTTAGGCAAAGAGTTGGTAAAATGTTCACTGAGTAAAAAAGGAAATGTAATTGGATAAAATCAGATATTGAGGATTTTCCTGTATACTATAATATACACAGCTCCTTTACAATTATGATGCTTAAATAGAAATTGTTGGTTTTTTTTTTTTTTATTTTGTGTGTTCACATGTATTGCTGATTTATTCCTCAGGAGAAACTTCCAAAATGTTTTTCGAAGTCATAAAAGAATAAGTAAATAAAAGGAGGACAATTCAGAGGAAATAAAAAATACGAAAATTTATATTTTCCCCAAATTCATCATGTATTTCATGGTACTTCAGGCAACTTCCCAACAAGGTATCCTATGGATCTGCACAAATTGATCTTCAAATCCACATGGAAGAGTCAGAGCTACAGTATTGCTAACACAGATCTGAAAATGAAAAAGAAACAAAATGCCCCACCAGACATCAAGATCTTTATAAGTGATATTGATGAGGCAATAAATAAAGTGAAACAGAATGATGAGCCAAAACTAATAATGGGTGCACTTATGGAAATTCGGTATATATTTGAAGTGGCATCACTCATCAATGGGATTGATTCAAGAAATTATTTGGGAATAATGTACATTTCCTATAGGGAAACAATAAACTTAGATCCCGATGCCAAGCAAAAGAGAATTCACAATCCCCCCTACCCCCCCAAAAAAACCTCAGAATGTCCAAAAGATATTGCAAAAGGTGTTTATCCTCAACAGTCGTCAAAGAAAGAAATAATAAGAAAAGTAAAATCATTTCACATGAATCAGATCGGAAAAATTTGAAAGGTTTGATAATACTCAGTTGAGCAAGGATAAAGAAAAATGGAAATCCTTAAACACTATCAGAACATAAATTACCACCATCAGTATGGAGAACAACTCAAGGTCATCTAATAAAACTAAGGCTGGAAAAACATAAGCCCTATAAGCTAATAATTCCATATCTAATATACTATTGAGGAAACACTCCCACAAAGGAACCTACATATATGTGTATATATGTATAAATATATATATATGAACATTATCTGGAATACTGTTAGTAATAGTAAAAAATGGAAAATAAATGTTCTTCAGTTGTTTTCTTTCATTTAGAAAGCACATATGTTGACCCTCCTGTGTGCTGGCACTATACTAAAGGACTGGTAACTCATTTGATTCACATAATAACTCTATCATCTAGGTACTATTATGCACGCATGCGTGTTTAGTCGTATCTGACTCTATGCAATCCCATGGACTGTAGCCCATCAGGCTCCTCTGTCCATGGAATTTTCCAGTCAAGTACTGTTATAATCCCAGTTTTGTAGATGAGAATAATGAAGTGGTTAGGAGAATTTAAGCAACTTCCCCTTATAAAATCGATTCCACAGTAATAAATGGTACAGCCAGTTTACAAACCCAGATGGTATGACTGCAGAGTTTATGTCTTCACTGAAGCCACTAAACTAAGCTATACTGCTTTTTCATGTATTGGAGAATTAAATTTAGGGGGCTCCAAAATCATTGCAGATGGTGACTGCAGCCATGAAATTAAAATTAAAACTTGCTTCTTGGAAGAAAAGTTATGACCAACCTAGACAGCACATTAAGAAGCAGAGACGTTACTTTGCTGACAAACATCCATCTAGACAAAGCCATGGTTTTTCCGGTAGTCATGTATGGATGTGAGAGTTGAACTGTAAAGAAAGTTGAGCACCAAAAAATTGATGTTTTTGAACTGTGGTGTGGGAGAAGACTTGAGAGTCCCTTGGACTGCAAGGAGATCCAATTAGTCAATCCTAAAGGAAATCAGTCCTGAATATTCATTGGAAGGACTGATGCTGAAGCTGAAACTCCAATTCTTTGGCCACCAGATGCAAAGACCTGATTCATTGGAAAAGACCCTGATGCTGGAAAGATTGAAGGCAGAAGGAGAAGGGGATGACAGAGGATGAGATGGTTAGATGGCATCACTGACTTGATGGACATGAGTTTGAGCAAGCTCCAGGAGTTGGTGATGGACAGGGAGGCCTGGAGTCCTCCAGTCCATGGGGTTGCAAAGAGTTGGACACAACTGAGTGACTGAACTGAACTGAATGCTATAAAATGGTGTGTATTATCAAGAATGATCTTGAAAACTGAGGAGGGGAAAAACAAGAATATTTCAGGATACTATATACTCTCGGATTGCATCTATGCAAGTTTTTAAAAGATATAGGCACACACTATTGTATCATTCACTTAGATGTCTATTCCTGTATGTGACTGGACGAATTCATACTAAATGCATGAAGGAGCTGATTCTTGGAAGACACAAGTGGAAATAACACTGAAATAAGACTAAGGATAGGAGACTAGCGGCTTTTGAGTTTATATTTGAAGTTGGGTTAAAGAAAACCTTTATTGCTTTGTGTGTGTGTGTAAGCTCCAATGTACAGACTGAAATTTGAAGAGCTATGGCTTACTCAAGAACACAGAAAATAGAAGAACTAGAAATCGAAATCGAATATTCTAAATCCAGTGTTTTTTCCTTTTAAACTTTGCCTTACCAGATATTTGCTATATACACATCAGCTGCCCAAAAATAATTTCAAAAGGGAGATTACTTACAGTGAAATATAATCTATTTTTGCCCCCTAATTTTCTCTATTATTAATTTATCCATCAACTAATGCACAATATTTATTGAACAACTGTTTGGCACAAGTCATTTTGTTTAGGTACTTGATATAGGTTGACACTCTAGTGAGATATGAACTCATGACCCCTGGTTTACAAAACTAGGGCTCCCACCATGGTCAGCACAAAAAGGTTTTAAAGCTAGGAAGTATTCATTGTTTGAGCTTCCAGAAGAAAATCTTTCTAAATCTGACAAGGATTTATCTTTACACTTCATTCTTCTTTATGGTGTACAAATAATTTCAAGCATTATCGCTATTATTCTCTGTAATTATATAATAACCATGATACCTCCGTTCTAACTCTCCAGAGAGAGGAAGAAAAATCTACAGGAAAGATGATGAGAGAGATTAGACCAAATGGTCTTGATAGATTTTCTTTTGTAATTTTAAACAAAGCCCTAGACACCATCTGACTAATTGCAGATATTTCTGGAAAGCTTGAAGGTCTCCAAATAATTAGTTTGGGAAGAGGGGGAAATCAGTTAGGAAGCTGATATCTCCCTGGACGTTGCTCCAAACTGGCAACTGACCTGCAGGCCAGGGTGGTGCTGGCAGTGTGAACACCAGGCAGCCCATCAAAGGAGGCTGATTTGGTCTCAGAAGCAATGGTGTGCCTATCCAATTTGGGAAAGCACCTTGGCCATGAGAAGCATTTCAGAGCAAAGGTTCATAGAGAAAAGAGAGAGGAAACTTGAAATTAAATTTAAAATGTATTTGTTATAAGCTGAACAAACAACAATTTTATGTGCACTAACCAAAACACTGTCATTCTGAATCGGTAACTGTTGCATCCAAATTCTTTTGCTAAAGAATAAAGACGTGTCCAGGGGACTGGTAAATCTTGATTTGCTTCATTAAGTCTGCTGAAAAATAACAAAACTTGATAAAGCTATCTTATGATGATCTGGCTATGATTATTATTCTCATCCAACCCAATTAATCTGATACAGTGAAAGGATCATTAATAGAATTGTTTTTAAATTTAAGAAAAATATAATGATAAATATCAGTGTTGGCAGCAGGAAGGTTATCTTGTAGCTGTAAGATACAAAGGGAAAAATAGTTATTTCTTGCCAACAGTCTTCATGTCTTTATTCAAATGCCGCATTTCTTGCATAATCCATTTCTTCCTGATGAGAATATTGATAATAGCTTTTGTAAAAATCACAGCAGAGTGATATAAAAATCTGGCTTTTATACCCAATAGATTTAATACATACTATTAGAGCCTATTATCTAGAGTCTTTGCACATTTCAACAAGGTAAATTTGTTTCCAAGTGAGGATGTTAACAACCTGGGATGTCAGAAATCTCTTCTCTCCATTTCCAGAGGTTAGAAGTCCAAAATCAAGGTTCAACAGGGCCATTCTCCCTTTGCAGACTCTGGGGAAGAATCTCTCAACTCTTCCCAGCTTCTGGTGGTTGCCCGTCACCCTTTGTGTTCCTTGGCATATAACTATATCACCCCAACTGTTCTCTGTAATCACATGGCCTTCTTTCTTTTGAGAGTGCCTGTATGTCTCCAAATCTCTCTCTCTTTTAAGAGCATTTAGGACCCACCCTAATGCAGGATGGCCTCATATTAACTTTATTACATTTGCAAAGACCTTATTCGAAAGTAAGGGTACATTTGCGGGTACCAGGGATTAGAATTTGAGCATATCTTTTTAGAGAATGCAATTTAACTAATTAAAAATAAGTGAAGTGCATATTTGGATTCTCTGAACCTGGAGGACAGGAATAGGTGAAGAAAATGGCTCTCAGAGCAGTAGCAATCGATTCAATTCTTAAATGTTATCAGGAGGTCATAGGGAAGGAAATCCGTTTGTATGATTGTGCAGAGCAAAAACAAGTATGCAAATATTATGAATCCTGACATCCTCCATATAAGAAAAACTTTTTTTTCCTTTGAAGAAGTATATGCACCCAAGTCAAGCATCTAGGCCCTAGCAGGTCATGAAATGTCACACCTTAGACTCTGGGAATAAGGGCGGGCGATGGCAGCGGGGAAGAGGAAGGAAACCCATTATGCCCATTTCACAGAAAAAGAGACTGAGGAACAGAGAGGTTACATAAACTGACCAAAACCAATCTGCTAAAAAGGGCAGGATTGGGACTCAAAGTCTTTCAGTCTGTACTCAGAGTTCCTGGGTCCTTCACAATATTATTTCTTCTGAAAGAAATGTTCAATGGAAATTGTTTGACTTTTGCATGGGAATACCATATCACATATTACTTGTAAGCTGATACAAGTCCCATTGCCTAGGCCTTCCCTGGGCATCTAATTTTCCAGGAAATCTTTCAGGAAAGGCTATCAGCTGAAGTTCAATATTCCTGTTCCTGGATCTTTCTTTGTACCAGAGACAAAGATGATGAATTCCTTCAGATAAATGTTATAAACATCTGGTTACAATTCTACCTCAGACAAGTCAACTAACTTGCATTTCCTTTAGAGTCCCATGATTCAACAACCACTGTGCCTTCCCCAAGCTGTCCACTTCCACTGTAAGGATTCATTGCCCTTTTACTCACAACTGTCTTGGCCAACTGTTACTTAGAATTCCAACCTACATTTTAAGTGTTACCCCAATATAGACTCATTTCCTTATCCATCTCTACCACCCAGACTGAGTTCAATTCTCCTCTCCTGTAGCTGTTTGGGATATACAACAGTTGGGTACTCTTACCAACCAAGCATAATTCAGACCTTCTTTCTACCAAACAGAACCTGAAAAGTTTTCAAGTAGCCAAACTCATCCACAAATCAAGGTACTCAGAGAAAGCTAATGCACTCCCAACTTGAAGGATAACCTTCCTTTTTGTTAAAATGTCATCATACCAGTAAGGTGCCTGCATGCTCAGTTGTATCCAATCCTTTCCAACTTCATGGACTGTAGTCCACCAGGCTCCTCTGTCCATGGGATTTTCCAGGCAAGAATACTGGAGTGGGTAACTATTCCCTTCTCCAGGGGATCTTCCCAACCCAGAGATGGAACCCAAGTCTCCTGTATCTCCTGAATTACAGGTGGATACTTCACCACTGAGCCACTGGGCAAGCCTACCAAAAATTTTAGTAGCTTAAAGCTATTGCAGTTTGTTATTGCTAATGATTATGTGGGT